TTCAATTTTTTATAACTTTCATTGGAAAGCTCAGATTTTTTCCAATAAACTATGTAAAGTTTAAAAATTGGACAATAAGTTTTCAAGAAAATTAAAAAAAAGTGTTTACAAAGTTAGTTTTTTTCTTTTTCATAAAATATTGTTGTGAAACTTTTATTTTTATAATTTATTTTATTGGAAAAAATCTCAGCTTTATAATAGAAGTGATTTTTAAAGAGTAAAAAAGGGATAGTTTCGTAAAAAATTGAAAGAAAGATTTTATTTTGATAAAAGAGGAGTTACAAATTTTTTTAAGAAAGATTTTTGTCATTGAAAATAAGTACAAAAAAAAATGTTTTAAAATCATATAACAAAGTCCCTGAATGTCTAATTTTTTCGATTTGATTATTTCACGTGGAATTGATCAATATTGTCCCAAAATTTTAGTTTCAAAAGTTTCATAAAACTAGAAATTCAATATTCGAAAATTTTAACAAAACTCTTGTCAAAATTTTAATTATTTTCATAAATAATTAATTATTAAAATTAATGGATTTATACAAGAATTTTAGTTCAAAACACTAAAAAAAATTGAATTTTGGTAATAAAATTCTTCACAAAAATTAAATTATATAAAACAATTTTTTTTTAAATTCTCGTTAAAATTTTAATAATCTTTATAAATAATAAAATTCTTCTCCAAAATTCAATTATTTTCAAAAATTTTAATAAAATTTTTCAAAAAAAAATAAATTAAAAAAAAAGTTTTAATAAAATTCTTTGCAAACATTTAATTATTTTCATAAATAATAAAAAAAAGTTCATAGGAATTTAAGTATATTTACAAATTTTTTATATATTTTTTCCCAATAATTCAATTATTTTCATAAATGATACAATTTTTACAAGGATTCAATTATTCTCATAAATAATACAATTTTTTTAGGTTTTCAATTATTTTCATAAATATAGTTAAACTCATCGTAGAATTTCAATTATTATTTTTAATATAATTTAAATCAAATTTTTCTTAAAAATTTTATTAAAATTCATCGAAAGAATTCAATTATTTAAAAATTTGTTGATAAAATTTTTTTTGAAATTATTTGAACCTTTTTTTAATAAATAATATAACAATTTAATAATTAATAATATTAATAAATAATTTATTTAAGGAAGAATTTTAGTTAATAATTCTAGGAAATAATAATTAATAAAAAATAAACTTTATATATTTTATTGGAAAAAATCTCAGCTTGATAATAAAAGTGATTTTTAAAAAGGGGAAAAGAGGTAGTTTTCGTAAAAATTGGAAAGTAAAATTTTATTTTGCGGAAAAGGAAGGGTTACATTTTTTTTCAAGAAAGATGTTTGACATTGAAAATAATTCGTCAATGTTTGTAAAAGTTATATTTAATATATCAAAGTCCCTTATATAGTTTCAAAAGTTTCATAAAATTATAAATTCATTTTTTTTAACTTGAATTTCCGACAAGGTTTTTTTAAAATTATTTTAAAATATAACTCACAATTATTTTAAAAAATAAATTAAAAATGCAGTAACAATCTATCAAAAAGTGGATAATTTCAAAATTTTTTTTTGATTTTTAATATTTCACGAAATAGTGAAATATGCCTTTGATCAGTCGGGCGGACAGATAAACAGTCAAAATTTTTATTTATCGTATATTTAGAATCTCTTCTACCTAGAACGTTATATTATGAAAAATGTTTCAAGTTCTATAAGCAAATATACAAACAAAAATCTGATTTTATTTCTACAGGTAACATTTATATAAATTTGTAGAGATTTGTCGAAATGAAAAATAATTTATGGAACCAAAAGTGGTTTTTAAAAAGAAAGATGGGAATGGTAAATGCAGTGAAGAAGAAACTTTTTTGATTAAAAGAAATTTTCTTGAGTGCGCGAAAACTTTTTCCGAATCTATACATATATTGAGAAGGAAAATGTGCACTTTAAAAAAAAAAGCTTCAAGTCGAAAAGTTTTTAAATTCATGGTGAAATATACAGTTATTAATTTTAAGGGGATCTTCTATCCCTGCTTGATTCTGATAATAGATAGCTAAATTTTCATAATGGCTGGAAGCTTCAGGCTATTTGACGCTCGAAATTGCCTTTGAATTATTTAAAATTTTCTCTTCGGGTCCTACTCGTTATTATATCGTTGTTTACGTTTCAAGTGTATTGACAAATATTTTCTTTCTCAAAAATCATTTATACGTTTTATACAGCTACAATACGCGACAGTTTTTTTCAATTTAAATTAAAATTCTTTGTCAAATAATTTCAATATAAACAAATTTTATTGTTAATTAATGTCAAATTAGAAAAATTATTATTATTATATAATAATAATAAGAGATAATCTGTCCTTACGTGAAGTTAATGTTTTTTTAATTCCAAATTGTTTTATAGTTCGAATTGTTATGTCCAAAGTTTGACAGTTAATTTGTAAATATAATAAAATAAATGTAGTAAGAAAATTTAACCCAAATTTCAAAAACACGATTGCTTTTAAAAATTGCAACAAAGTTTTTTAAAACAAAACATTTATTTCAAAAATTCAACTAATTTACAAAAAAATGTAAACTATAAAATTTTTTAAAAAACTAAGTTCTTTAGAATTTTTAATTAAAGTTACTCAAAATTGAAAGTATTTTTTTTTAAATTGAAACAATATTGGTCAATTTTATAAAATTTTATTAAAATGAATTTTATATTTTAAAATTTACAAAAATTATTCTATTTAAATAATTAAATTCTCCTAATTGAATTCTGATAGGAATTGATTTAAAGAAAATTCATTTAAAATTTTGGATAACAATTATTGAATATTTAAAGCGTTATAACAGAAATTTTAGGAATTTATTAAATTTTAAAAGATTTTTAAATTAAATTCTTTGAAAATTTAAGGGAAGCAAAAGTATAAAAATCTTTAAATATTTATTTTTAAAAATTATTATAATTTACATTATTTTTCTTTGAAAATTCTTAAAATTTTGAATAATTTTTTATTCAAAAATTCTAAAAAAAATAATTGAATTTTGGATGAATTACAGTTTTAATTTTTAGAAATAATTAAATTTCAAAAGGTTTTTCATTGAAATTATTTGAAATATTAATTCCTGTGGAAAAATAAATAAAAATAAGTAACAAAATTTGTTTCTTGAAAAAATATAATAAAAAATTTTTTTAAATAATTATATTTGCGAAAGTAATGTTGTTAAAAATTGAAACCATTGAAAATTTTGGTTGGGTACAGTTTTTCTAAAACGTATTTTCTAATTTTTTATTTTCTAAAAAATTTTTTTTCTAATAAAAATTTTCTAAAAAAAATGTTGTACAAATATATTAATTTTGGAAATTTTTGTACAAAAATGATGCAAATTATTATTTTTTTTTTTCAAAGAAGAACAGAATTTTGTTAAAAAATTGTGATAAGAAAAAGGAATTTTATAAAAATTTTTCTTCTCTTTCAGAAAGAAACTTACAATTTTGTAAACAGAATTTTTTTCCTGTTTGAAAAAAGATAATATGTAAAATAGTTTCTATTTTTTAATCTTAATTTTCTAACTTTTATGAAAATTATGGAGAAAACTGATTTCATTAGAAATCACTCTTTTTAGACAAAAAGGATTAGAAAATATTTTTTAGAAAAATGACCACCTATGAAAATTTTGTAAACTTTCATTGAATTAAATTTTCTATTTTAATAGAAATCGTATTTTTGAAGAATTCAATTTGATAGATATAGTTGAATTTTAAAAAAATTTAGAATTAAACTTATTACCAGATTCTTGCAGTGATACTCGAAAGTTCAATTATTTAATGAAAAATATCTTACATTCAAGTTGTTAGAAAAATCTTGTCGATTTCTACACGAGTATAGTTCAAATAATTCCTAATTTGTTTTTTTAGTTCGAAGAAAAACTGTTAGATAATAAAAAAATATTAAATAGGAATTAAGGAAAATTTTAATATTTTTAAATAAAAGACTAATATTCTTTTTTCATTAAAAAAAATTTCAAAACAAAAATTTAGTATGTACACATGAAATGGTTTTTCTATTTAAAATAAAGTTAGGAAGAAAAATTCAATTTATGGAAAACAAGTTTTCCAGACTTGAGTGACAAATTTGTGGTGCAGTTTTTAAAAGTTACAAATAATGAACGATCAATTTGAAATAACTAAATGCACTTTGCGCTTATTATTCTGACAGTGGAAAATGATCTTTATGAGACATAAAGAGAAGATTGCATTCGAAATAAAAATGGAAGATCGCCAACGATGGTTTTCTGAAAAGAAAATCACTCAACATGTCAACATTTAAAATTCCTCGAGAAAACTTTTCTCTTTAAGAAATTGTAATCAGTCTTTGGCTTGAATCCAGATGTATAATACATAGTGACGTGAAAATGCATTTTTCATCATAGGTTTTTATTGAAAAAAAACTCAATTTAGATAAAATATTTGCTATTTTGCGCGCAAACTTTATTTTTGTTTATTTTTCTCGTTTTTTTACAAAACTTTTTGTTTCCACTTTCAGTTTTCCGTTAATAAACTTCAACTTTTTCAATATTTGAAAATGCAAAATTGTAACAATCCTGATTAATGCACTTTTACATTCTCCGAACTCTGTAGTTTTCCATTTTTTTTACAAGCAAACAAAACATATTTGCAATAAACACTTTTCGAAAAAGCAAACACGAAATTTATCAATATTTACCAAATTCAGTATTTAATCACTGATAGCAATAGAAAATTAATTTAGTAATTTAATAATATATTATCAATAATATATTATTGAAAATGTACGATCAATTAATATTTAGAGAATATTTTGACAAAAAATAATCAAAAGGCTTTTCTTGGAATGTTTTATAATTACAAAAGAGTTTATTTATTTTTCGATAGTAAACAAATTAAATATATTAAAAAAATGTAGTGAATTAGATAATGAAAATAATTTTTAATGAAATTGTAAATATTTCTTTTTAAGGGCACGCTCATGTAACGGATTTCAATATCGCCACTAAAATAGAAGATGGACAATTGGCAACCTCCATGTCAGGAACAAAACCTTATATGGGTAATAATTGCATTTTTTAATTTTCTGGCATTAATCCTTTAAAAACTGTAATAGAATTGCAGATTAAAAAAGCAGGTGATTCAAAATGCGAAAAATATAGAAAAATTCGTTTATTTTATTCAGAGTCAGAAAAATTTGATTTTTTATTTCCTAGCTTCTTTATTATAAATAGCAAAATTCTTCGCCAAAATTCAATTATATATTCAGGAATTTTTATAAAATACATTGCAAAATTCAATTACTTTTATAAATAACAATATTCATCACAAGAATTCAGTTATTTTCAAAAATTAAAAAAATTCTTCGCAGAAATTAAATTATTTTCAAAAAATCTATAAAAAAAATTGTCGTCAACATTTCAATTATCTTTATAAATGAATAGCAAAATTCTTCGACAAAATTAAATTATTTTCATAAATAATGGTATTCATCACAAGAATTCAATTATTTTCAAGAATTTTAATAATTAATTTATTGCAAAATTCAATTATTTTCAAGAATTTTAATAAAATTCATGGCAAAAATTTAATTATTTTCAAAAATTTTTCTTAATTCAATGATTTTTAATACTCTAGTATTTTAATAAAATTTCTCTAAAGAATTCAATTATTAAACAAACGTTGTTGAAATTCTTTACAAATATTCAATTATTTTCCAAGAAAATAAAAATTTCACATAAATACAATTATTTAAAATAGAATTTGCATTCATTTTTTCAAAAAAATAAAGTGTTTTAAAATTTGTCATTAAATTCTTCGCAGTAATTCAATTATTTTCATAAATTTTAAAATTCCTTCCAGGAATTTAATTATTTTCATAAATAACAATATTCATCATAAGAATTTAATTATTTTGAAAAATTTTAATAAAATTCATTGCAAAATTTTTTATAATTTAATAATTTATATATCTATATTATTTTAATTAAATTTCCCAAAAGACTTCAATTTTTTTTTATATACAATTTTAACAAAATTCTACACGAATATTCAATTATTTTCTAAAATAGTGAAAATTTCACAAGAATTCAATTATTTAAAATAGAATTTGCATAAATTTTGTCGAAAAAAATCAATTGTTTTAAAATTTTTTATAAAATTCTTCGCAATAATTCAATTATTTTCATGAATAATAAAATTCATCGCAGAATTTCAATTATTTTCAAAATTTTTCCAAAAAAATTCAATTCTTTTTAAAAATTTTAATAAAATTTTCCAAAAGAATTCAATTATTTTCATAAGTAAAAAATTTTTTACAGGTATTTAATTATTTTCATAAATAATAACATTTTTTTATAAATTCAATTATTTTTCTAAAATAATAAACCTCATCGCAGAATTTCAATTATTCTTAATACAATTTTAATCGAATTCCGCTGACAATTTTCTAAAAAATTAATTAATTAATTAATTTAATTAATTAAAAATTAATTTTAGTTAAAGTTTTCGATAATAATTGAATTTTGGAGAAGTTACTAATTTCAGTTATTTTCAAAAATTTTTCTTTTTCAATATCTTATATATCTATTATTTTAAGAAAATTTCCCAAAAAAATTCAATTATTTAAAAATTTGTTATTAAAATTATGTAGAAAGATTTCAATTTTAAGAAACATTCAATTATTCAATAAATTATCTATGTTTATATTTAATCTGAATTTTCCATACTTTTAATTAAAAATTCTATAAAACTAATTTTTTTCAAAAAGCTTAATTGAAATTTTTTAAAATTATTTCAAGTTTTTAATTTCTAATGTATATTTAATTGAAGAATTTTCGAATAATTGAAATTTCACGTAAAATTGAATTTAAAAAAGATTTGAATTTGAAGTTTTTGAAAATCTGAATTTCTGTAGAAAAATAGTATTGATTAAATATTTATTTAAAAATAAAGTTGTTGACGTTTTTAAATAATTTTTCGTAAATAAATATAATAGAACCTTTTTTTGAGTGTATAATCATTTTGAAAGGCTAATGTTTTGCACAATGAATCGTAATTTATTTGAATAATAAAAGTTGTAGAAGATTAATTTGCCTTTGTACTTATTTAAAAAAAATTAATTTGCTGTATTTTGTTTTCTGTTGTAAAATATTCAGCTCCAGAAATTTACATGTGCTCTTGCGATGAATCTGGAGTTATGGGCTATGGATACGCGGTGGACTGGTGGAGTTTGGGAGTTTTGGCATGGGAAACGCTGGCGGGAAATCGACCATACGCAGTTCACGCGGCAACGTCACACCGCGAAGCCTTAGAAATTCTCCAGGATGAAAGACAAGCGCCGGAGCAATGGAGCTCATTAATTCGCGAATTATTGGATCGACTATTAACATTGGCACCTGGCGCCCGTGTGTCAACACTCAAAGAACTCAAGTACATTACAATTATGAGCGAATTGGATTTCGATATGGTATTGAGTAAGAAAATCAAACCCATATTCACACCACCCAAGGATCACTTGAATTGTGATCCAACTCATGAACTTGAAGAGATGATTATTGAGGAGAGACCGCTTCACAAAAAGAAAAAACGCCTAGCCAAACAAAGGCGAGTTTCCAGTTATTCTAATTCTACTTTATTCCTTCCATTCATTATTCTCTGCAAAGTCCACTTTTAATTCAAACAAAAATTTATACGCCTCGGCATAAAAGAAAAGAAAAGAAAGAATCGTCACGAGATGATTTTCATTAAATTTTTTCGAAAAAACCAATTATTTAAAAGTATTATTATAAAAATTCTTCGCAGGAGTTCAATTATTTTCCGTGCAATTTTAATAAAATTTCTTAAAAGAATTTAATTACATACTTTCAAAAATTGTAATGCAATTCTTTTCCGAAATTTAATTATTTTCAAAAATTTTAATGCCATTCTTTTCAGAAATGCAACTATTTTCAAAAGTTTTAATAAGACTCTAAAAGAATTGAATTATTATTTTCAATAACATTTTTATTAAATTCGTCGAAAAATTTTGTAAGAATTCAATTTTATTCTCATAAATAATAAAATTTTTCTCGGGAATTCAATTATTTTTATAAATAATAAATTACTTTAGACAAATTTAATTATTTTCATACACAGTAAAATTTTGACAGGAATTAAATTATTTAAAATACAATTTGATTAAAAAATTTTTAAACCAAATTAATTATTTTAAATACATTTTAAAATAAATTTCTCAATAAATGCAATTATTTTTAAAAAATTTATGAAAAATCTTCAAAAGATTTCAATTATTTTGAATACAATTATGATAAAATTTCTTTAAAAAATGCAATGATTTTCAATAAAATTTTTATTAGGTAAATTCGTGGAAAAAGTTGTAAGATTTCAATTATTTTCATAATTAATAAAATTCTTCTCTGAAATTCAATTATTTTTATAAATAATAAATTACTTTAGTCAAATTCAATTATTTTTATAAATAATAAAATTTTCACAGCAATTCAATTATTGCAAAGGTTTAAAATACAATTTTCATTAAATTTTTCAAAAAATATCAATTATTTTAAAGTATTTTTATAAAATTCTTCGCGTAAATTCAATTATTTTCAATGTAATTTTAATAACATTTCTTGAAAGAATTGAATTATTTTCAAAATTTTTAATAAAAATCTAAAGAAATTGAATTATTATTTTCTATAAAATTTTTATTAAATTCGGCAAAAAATTTTGTAAGAATTCAATTATTCTCATAAATAATAAAATTCAATTATTTTTATAAAAAATAAAATTTTCGCAGGAATTTAATTATTGCAAAGGTTTAAAATACAATTTTCATTAAATTTTTCGAAAAAAATTATTTCTTTTAAAGTATTTTTACAAAAATTCTTCGCGGGAATTCAATTATTTTGAAAAATTTTAATTAAAATCTAAGAGAATTGAATTATTATTTTTAGTAAAATTTTTATTAAATTCGTCGAAAAAGTTTTTAAGAATTCAATTATTCTCATAAATAATAAAATTCTTCTCTAGAATTCATTTATTTTAATAAATAATAAATTTTTCACATGAATTCATTTATTTAAAATACTATTTTCAAAAAAATTACGAACAAAAGCAATTATTTTAAAATACATTTATTTCATAAATTCCCCGAAAAATGCAATTATTTTTTAAAAAATGTATGAAAATTATTCGTATTTTTTAATTTTCTATTCACATTGATCTTTTTAATAAGAATTGATTTAATGATGAATTTTATTTGTAATTTCAGACAATATATAATTGAATATTAGAAGCGTTATGTAATAAATTTTTAGAAATAATTAAATTTCAAAAGATTTTTAAATTGAAATCTTTGAAAATTTTGATTGTTGTAAAACTGTAATATTATTTAAATCCTTATTTATAAGAAATTATTAATTTATTATTTTGTTAAAAAATGATTAAAGTTATGAATAATTTTAATTAAAAATTTAAACAAAAGAATTATTGAATTTTCGATTGCAGTTGCAAATTTTTCAATATTTATTTAACAAAAATGATTGAAGTTTTGAATGTAATTTAATTTAGAAATTATGAAAATAAATTACATAGTCTTTTGAAAAATTGTAATTAAAATATTTTGAAAATAGTTAAATTTCTGTAAATAATTTGAAAAGATTAAATTATATATTCAATTATTTGGAAATTTTTTCAAATTTAATGGAAATAAATTTTAGGTATATTTTAATGAATTTTTTTTCTACTTTTAAAAATTATTTTCAAATATAATCGGATTTTCTAAGAATTTTAAATTAAAATTTAGAAAATTATTGAATTACATACGTAAAAATTGAGAATTGAAGTTATTAGCAGTGTATTAAAAAATCAATATTTCTGATGAAAATGAGAAAAAAATCAGGGAAATAAAATTCAGAAAGAAATTTTTCTGAATCGTTGAAAACGAGTTTTTTTTAATCGTCAAATTTAATTTTTCAATTAGCTATTTTTTTAGAACTTTTTCGTTCTCAAAACTACTTTTTTTTACTACTTTTTTGGTCTCAAATCTACTTTTTTACTAATTTTTTGAATTATCGAAAATTATGAAAAATTAAATTATTGAGTGCGAAGCCTGAACTTTTTTTTTCTTTATTTATTCAAATATTAGAGAATAAAAGTGATTTCAATGATATTCGAGAAAGATTGAGGAAAGTTCACTAAACATTTTAGCTGTTTGGTGAACTAAGAAAACCAAGCGATAGATTATAATTTTTTCAGATGACCTTGCATATAATTCAGATCGCTCGAGGTGAAATCTCTGACTCAAGAAGTACTAGCAGCAGAAAAGGGTCCAGTCCAGGAGTACAGGAAGCTCGCCTGCATACCAGAATATCTCAATTTTAATCGAGAATGGGAATTAGAGAGGCGCGAAAGAGACAGGAAGGAGAAGCAATGGGAGGAGGAGCTCAATTCTGCTATGAGAAGTGCCGACCAAAGATTGAGGTAAACAAATAAAATCGACACAAATTATTCGTGTCATTTTTTACCTATTATTTCACACATAAATGTCAGTTTCAATTTTTCAATTTTTTCTCTTACAAATAAAAGTTCGCAGTAAAAATCGATTCTATTCCTAGACATTGGAAATCATGAGGGAGAAAATAATGTTTCACTTTATAAAATGAAAATTTTAATTATCACCATCGAACATTGAAAGTAAAAATATTTTTCTGCAGAAATTAAAAAATATTTTTTTAGAAATAAAACAATTCATAAGATTCTTAGATTTTATTGTAAAAATTAATACTTTACTTTCTTTTACTTTTTTATTGTAAATTTAATCAAAAAATATGCCCATCATGATAGAAGTACAAAATGTTACGGATTTTTTAATTTTTACTATAGAAAAAGACAAAGAAAATATTAAAAGTTATCTTTAGAAAAATAAATTATTAAAACTAAAAGAAGCAAAAGGTTTTAAACTAAAATACTAAAAACTAAATACTGGAGAATATTAAAAGTTTTCTTTAAAAAGTGTCGAATGGAAAGAAAAATAAAAATTGTAAAAGCAAAATAAAAAAGCAATTTGAATTCTGAAAATAAAGTGATATTTAAATTATCAATTCGCAGGCTAAAGCAGCAATCGTTCCCAAAGACTGCCAATCGCTTGAGTGTATCGAATGCGAACGTGAAAGCGCGAATTAACGCATCTCCACTACAAAATCGACGTAAGAGTGCGACGACGTCGTCAGATATTGATTATATTGATGCCAGTCCGGAGCCTTCGACATCGTAATTCGTAAATGACACCCCTTCTTTTGAAAAAAGAGATCCTGAGAAAAATTATAAGCCTTTTCATCGCGAGAACATATATAGTGAATATTCCCTATTAGCAAACATTATATACATAGTGAAACATTCTAAAAATACCATCTTTCCTTTTTTTCCTACTTTTATACAACTTTATTCACAATTTCTTTTTATTTTCATTTCAAAAAGTTGAAAGAGAGTTTTCTCTAGACGACAAAGAACTATTTTATTTTCAATTTATTTACGTTCCTTTTATAGTTTTATAATTTACTTATTGTAATTAATTTATATTGAATAAATAGTTAAATAAATAGTGAATAAATAGTTTCTAAATATTATAAAATTTATAAACTTTTAAGAGATTTTAGAAAAATGTTTATTTATTTGAAAATCATCACAAAAATTTTTGAATTAATTTCCAAACGTTTAGAATATAAAGAGAAATGTTTGTAAAATATTTCCAAAATTCCTACTAACATAACCTTTGTATGTAATTGAAAATTCCAGGCGCTTTCCAAATTTTCAGGTCTATTTTCAAAAAAATATTTCAAATAGAATTAAATATAATTTTCGCGTAGTTTAAATTAACTTCAATACTTCGTGCATGGGTCGAAAATGAGGAAAATTTTAAAAACAACTAAAAAATTTAATTATTGAAAGAAAAACCGAAAAACTGGAAAAAATAAACTTTTAAAAATTCCAGGCCTTTTCGATTATTTATGGAGAGTTTTTAATAATTCCATCAGACTTTTTCTATGATATTCAAATTCTGTAGGAATCTTGATTTCGTAAATGATTCGTTTGTGTTTTTATTAGAAAAGTGTTGTTTCTTAAAATAAAATTTTATAGTGAAAATTAGTTAAAATTATTTACAGGATTACAGGTTTAAAAAGTAATTTCTAATGAATATATAAATATTTCAAAGCAATATATATATTTACGTAAGAAAAAAGAAAGAAGAAACAAAGTTTAACTTTTAATTTTTATGGAACCTGAGATATTACAAAAGAAGAGTTTGTAATTAGCTCTAAAAAGTTGAAAAAAAATTATTCTATAAGGACTTCTCTCTTGCGGTACATATTTATCCAACATTATAAATATGGAAATTTCCCCAATTTGAATTTTCTGTTTTTGAAAAATTTCAACCCGATTGAGAAAAGAACTAAAGTTACTGCTTTTATATATAACTTTTATATAAATTTTAATCTAACAATATACTATATATATAAAATTTTTAGCTTTTCAATGAAAAATGTAGAACCTTTTTGAAAATTTGTCCATAGTTATAGAATTAATATAATAATTATTTATAAATAAATTATTTAATAATAGAAAAGTTTAAATAATGCGCTACTAGAACAATATTAAATCCTTGAATCGTTTATTGAGAAAATTCTATGAAAAAAATATTATTGATGAATAATTGTTAAATTTATTCAAAATATTTCCACTTTGTTAGGAATCGCAAGTATTAGTTCTTCCATTGACTGTGATTCAGTGTCAGATCAATATCATTTGATATTTCAGTTCTCATTATGGCAAGAATGTTAAAAAAGAATTTATATTTAATACCGTTTCAAAAAATGAATATTTTTCAAACGAAATGTTAATGGAAATTTTTTAACGATTTCCGATTTTATTGAAAAATAGTAAATTATTAAATAAAGGCGAATTTTTCGAATTTTAGTGGTTTTATTATTAAAAATCACTGCTATTCATACATTATTAAATTTTTATTTTTCAATTGAAATAAATAAATTAATAATAATTAATAATTAAAATAAACAATTTTCATACTTATTCTTTTTCAACACAAATTTAATTAAATATTGAAATTAATTAATATTTTAATAATAATTTACATTTTCAGGGTGACCACTTTTTTATAAAAAATATATTTTAAAAATATAGGTATAACTTAATTTAAAATAAAATGAGAATTAAAATGTTTCAAAAAACTAACTTATTGAGAATTTTTAATTAAAATTTTTTAAAATTCAACTTTTTTGTAAAACTTTAATTTAAAACACTTTGGAATCCAATCTTTATTAATAATATTAATAAATTATTGTAGAAAAATGAATTGATATTAATGCAAAATGGTTCTTTAAACATTTATTTTCTAAGAAAAACAAAATTTTATTTATTTTAAAGTTTCGTTCTATTTTCTATTACAATTTCGTAATTTTTTATAATTTTGAATCTGAAATAATTTAATTTTTGCTTAGAATTTTATTAAAATTTTTGGAGATAACTGAATTCTTTCATGAAATTTCTTAAAATTTTATTGAAATAAAATGAATTCTTAAGAGAAAAATTTAATTTTTTGATAAATTTCTTTGAATCTTTTAAAAATAATGGAGTTTTTTTTTAATAATTTTAATTGAAAATTTTTTTGATTGTGAATTAAATTTTATAAAAATTTTCTTTCAAGCTTTTAAAATATTTCCAATTTTTTAACATTGTAATTAATAATTCTATTAAAATTAATTGATGAAAATAGTTAAATTTTACGAAGAATTTACTTTAACGTTTTAAAATACTTATGATTTTTAATAATTGTAATTAAAGATTTAATACTTTTTGAATTTTATGAAATTTTTTTTAAAATAAATCTTTTGAATCTTTTCCAGAATATTAATAAATTTTTGAAAAAAAAATTAAATTCTTTGGAGAAATTTTATGAAAATTCTACTGAAAAGAATTGAATTCATACAAAGAAAATGAAAATATTATTAATTCCTTTCAAAAAATTTTACTAAAATTGTATTGAAAATAATTGAATTCCTAAGAAGAATTATATTATTTATGAAAATAATTTAATTCTTCCGAATAATTTTACAATTTATTATAAAAATAATTGAATTGTAGCGAAGAATTTTATTAAAATTTTGAAAAATAATTGAATCCGTAAAGTTTTATTAAAATTGTATTAAAAATAATTAAATTCTTATAAATGAATTTTTTTCGAAAAATTTTATTAAATTTACATTGAAAATAGTTGAATTTCTGTGAAGAATTTTATTATATGTATGAAAATAATTGGATTCTTGCAAATTTTTTTGACGAATTTAATCATTTAATTAAAATTGTACTGAAAAGAATTAAATATTACCTATGTGAAGAATTTTATTAAATTTTTTGAAAATAATTGAATTCTTTTAAAGAATTTTAGTAAAGTTGGACTTTTTTAATTTTTTACCAGGTTTCCCGGTCTAGCGGTAAACCTGTATTTAAAAATAAATTGCAAATAATTTATTAAACATTCTATTATTTTTAATTAAATTATGAAAAAGTGAACTAAATTAGACAACAAAAATGGTTTGACATTTGTAAAGAAACTAACTTGCGATTTCCATGTCTAATGGACCAAAATGTAAAAAATATACCTACTGATTACAAAATAATATTATAAAGAACTTATCTTCGAAATTTAATAACAATTTTTTCATTCTTTACAGTTTGAAAAATTTTTAAAATTTGATAAGTTTTAATAAATGTTAAAAATGTGTTATTGGTAACAGTTTTTGAAATAATTATAACGGGCCTACTAGTTAATTACTATAACTCTTTGTAATTACTATTACAAAAAAATATTATTTTTCAAAAAATTATAAGGTACATCAAAAATGTTATTAAATTTAAAAAAACAAATATTACTCGAAAACCGAATTTTCAATAAAGGCAATAAAAACTGTACAAAATAAAGAGAAATACAAATTATTCGTCAAATATTTGTATTCAATAAAAATACATTTACTTGGAAGAATGTTAATATCGAATTAACACACTGTTTATACAGGAATTTCGAAAATTACAGTTTTTTCATCTTCTTTCGCTTCTCGAGATAAAAAAATACTTTCATAGCATGTTTTTTTTTTATTTTTGCTAATTCGCAAATCCAGTCAAAAAAAAATCACATGCTTTTTGTGAAAAACCAAATTCAACGGAAAAGGTGTCTCTTTTCGAAAAAATTTCATACTTATTCTTTTCCAATAACAATTGTGTAATAATGAAAATGTACTGAACAATCATCAGTGAACATTCTATCGACGAATGGAAAATAAATAAAAAAAAAAACATTTTTTATTCCATAATTAATTCTCGTATACCATTTTTTATAAAATGATAACCTTTATCGTATATAATCAAATAATATCACACAAAGTATTGCATTTTCATACTTTTATACACTTTTTCTTACGTAATTAGATTATATTTTTTTTCTTTTTCGAAAAAATAGATAACTAATTTACTGAATAAAGAATCTATTTCCAAAAACCTTTTGGAATTTCTTCATGGGATTAATTTCTCTATTTAGAAATTTTTTTCTTCTCTTAAAACATTTTTCAGTCTATGTGATTAAATGTCCTGAGCTAAGGATCAGATTTTCGTTTTTCTTTGAGACACCGCTTTTGTTTTTTTTCTCTCTCATTATCTTGCTAACTTTTTTTTTATTCACTAAGCTCAAAGTTTTCGAAAGTTTTACTTTTTTCTGAAAAAAAATAAATGAAAAATAAAAAAAAACCACGTATTAATATACGTGAACAAAACTTTACGAAATTTACAGCATTGTGACTTCTCATCCTCTCTCGGATATCGTTTCAATAATAAACTAAGACGTGCAGTCAATGCAAAATTCGAACTAAAAAAAAATAAATTCTTCATAGGATTTCTATATCGGTATCGATATAATCAAGACGCGATCACATCGCTTAAAAGAAAAAAAATGAATCAGACTAAATCCGATAAAGCAGAACAAATAACCAGCAATGCTGTAAAGTGAGCTTTTCTTTTTTTCTAAATGATAAATGAGATTAAACCGACGTTGCGTCGGTTACTTCGATTTTTGTAATCGGTTTTGCCTCCTCGACTACAGCAACTACTTCGGGTTTTCCTGCTGGTTTTGTTGGTTCAACAACAATAAAAACATTATCCATAGTTTCAGGCACTTCACCGATTTTCAATTGTTGTAAATTCGCTACAACAGAATCAACTTGCACTGGTTGATGCTCCTCGTCCGATTTGGCATTTCTCAATTTGCCAAAGTGAAGATAGCAAAAACCACGCTGTCCTCGCCAGGTGATGTCATTGGGTTTCACTCCACGTTCAGATAAAGCGTTTTTTAAATCTCGTACTCGAACAGTAGACGAGATATTCGAGAGCTTCAAAGAAAAATCTATTTGACTTCTTGGACGTGATTTGTAAAAGGGACGACGGGGTCTATCCTTATTCGCGGATATATCAGTCTGTAAAAAAAAAGATCGATATGTTTTATCAGATTCAGTTAATTATTGTGACTGTTCACTATTTGAATTCTTAGAAAAATTTATTTATTATCTTTTCTCTAAATCAGGTAAATTAATCACAAAAATTTTATTTTGTTTTTTTCTGATTTTTCCCTGATTTCCATAACAAATTTTCACTTTTCCCCTGGCCCTAAAGAATATTCTGATTCACTCTCAAAACAATAACTTTATCAATATTTTTCACCAATAACTTTATTTTTAAATAAATATTTAATAAGTATTATTTATTCATGTGAACTAAGATTGTCAAAATTTCAAATTCAAACCTTTTAAAATTCAATAACTTATACAAATAAAAAAAATTTAATTGAAAATTAAAATTTTTGAATTTTTAGAAAATAAAGGAAAAAATGTTACTCAAAAAATGTTTTGTCACATTTATTTACGAACTTCTTTAATTGCAAAATTATTCAAGAACATCAATAACTTCTTTTTCAACTAAATATTTAATTATTATTATTTTTCCATAGGAATTAAGATTTTCAAAAATTCCAAATTCTTAAACAACTTTAAAAATATTGTTATAAAACATGAAAATATCGATCGCTCTGAGTCTTTGACTTGGAGTGATCGATATCTTCATGTTTTATAATTAATTAAAGGTGACCGAGTGATAAAATCATAATTTTATATTATAAAAATATTGTTACAGTAACTTTTTCTAAATTATTTTCATCATTATACTTCAATTATTATTTTCTAAAATTTTTAACTAAAATATATCTTTAAATCAATTATTTTTAATCATTTTTTGCTAAAGTTCTTTTGAGAATTTTCAAATTTATTTGTTTACAATTCAATTTTACGAAATTGCGCCTATTGGGAAATTCTTCAAATAGACATTAGAAAATAAAAACTTGAAATAATTTTTAAAAAATTTCGATTAAACTTTTTGAAAAAAAATTAGTTCCATAGAATTTTTAATTAAAAGTAGGAAAAATTCAGAGTTTCAAAGATTTTCATTTGCAACCTTTACAAAATTCAATTATTTCTAAAAATTCAATTATTAGTAACTTTTCCAAAATTCAATTATTATTATCTAAAAATTAAACTGAAATTAATTTTTAAATCAATTTTTATTAGAAAATTCTACGAGATTTCAATTATTTAAAGTAAAAAATTAATTATTTATTAAATAATTGAAGGTTTTTTAAAATTGAATTCTTATACATAATTGTAATAACAAATTTTTAAATAATTGAATTCTTTCTACGAATTTTAATATCATTTTTAAAAATAAATAAATTTTTCGAGACATTCGATTTAAATTGTATTAAAAATAATTGGATTGAATTGAATTCTTTTAGGAAATTTTATTAAAATAATAGATATAGGTATAAATTATTAAATTAAGAAAATTTTTTAAAAATAATTGAAGTTTTGTAATGAATTTTATTAAAATTTTTGAAAATAATTGAATTTCATTACTTTTGAAAATAATTAAATTCTTGTGATGCGAATATTGTTATTTATGAAAATAATTGACTTCCTCCAAATGATTTTATTATTTTTGAAAATAATTAAATCCCTGAAAGGAATTTTAAAATTTATGAAAATAATTGAATTACTGAAGATTTTAATGCCAAATTTTAAAAGATTTGATTTTTTTGCAAAAGTTTATGAAAATTTTATTTTAATTAATTGAATTTCTGAGAAATTTTTATTTTTTTTACAAAATAATTAGATGTTCGTGTAGAATTTTATCAAAACTTTTGTTTTATAATTGAATTTCTTTTTGGAAATTTAATTGAAATAGTAAAATATTGAAAATCATTGAATTAGAGAAAAATTGTTGAAAATAATTGAATTCTGATGAATTTATTTACTTATTTATGAAAATAATTGAATTTTGCAATGAATTTTAAAAAAATTCCTCAATATAATTATTTTATTATTGATAGAAAATAAAACTTCTTCTAAATCATTTATTAGAGTTTTCGTAAATATTTAAATTCTGTTGAAGTATTTCTTTATTTTTTATTAAATAATGGAATTTTTTTAATAATTTAAATTGAAAATTATGAAAATAATTCAATTTTACGAATAATTCCCTTCAACGTTTTAAAATACTAATGATTGTTAATAATTGTAATTAAAAATTTAATACTTTTAGAATTTTATAAAAATTTTTTGAAAATGTTTGGATTTTTTTCCAGAATATTATTACAATTTTTGAAAAAAAAACTTAAGTTCTTCGGAGAAGTTTTATGAAAATTCTACTGAAAATAATTGAATTCATGACAAGAAATTTATTATTTATGAAATTAATTGAATGCTTTCTAAAAATTTTGTTAAAATTGGATTGAAAATAATTGAATTCCTAAGAATAATTGCATTTATAAAAATAATTGAATTTTTGTGAAATTTTTTTTCAAATTTTTAAAAATAATTGAATTGTATCGAAGGTTTTTATTAAAATTTTCGAAAATACTTGAATCCGTAAAGTTTTATAAAAATTGTATTGACAATAATTTCAATAAGTGAATCTTGTAAATTTTGAATCTGAAATTATTCAAAAATTGAAGTTGATATTTGAAAATAAAAAATTTTATTTTTGGTTTCATTGAACAGAGTTAATTCATTTTTTAAAAATGTCTGTTAAATCTGAAGAAAGAAAAAATATGTTTTGTTAAAAATAAATCGTGGGTAACCTATCAGTAGGAATTAAATAATTTTGAAAATGAATGGAACTTAAATTTAAAGAATGTCACATAATATTGTAAACATTTTTACGTACCTCAATTGACACATTATTGTCTCCATCTCCTCTACGTTTGTGAGATGAACGTCGTCTGACAAATCGTTTTTTGTCTTCTTTGTCACCCTCTCCGCTTTCTATTGTTGAATTCAAGAGATTACGTTTGATCTTTAGTCGAACCTTTCCAATAACGCGTTTAAGTTTGGTCCTCTCCTGGTAAATTGCGTCTTCATCAGAATCATCTTCTTTCAATACAACCTCTTTTCCTTCTCTAAATAGAAATTTTATTTGTCAGATACTTCGATTTTTTATTTCTTCAAAAATTCAACAATTGATGCTCCAGATCTTAAAAGGGCACATGCAGCATTGATTTTAAATATGGTAAAAGTGCCCTTTTAAAATCCGGAGTCTCAATTATTAATATTTTACTATTATTTCGGAACATTTCTTGGGAAATTTTAGAAATCAAATTTCTAAACTATAATTCTATCAATAAAATTATTGTTTTTAAATAGTAATTAAAATTCATTAATTTTTCCATTTCAATTAATTATGAATAATATTTTAATTAATATTCCATTTAAATTAATTATAATAAATATTTAATAGTATATATTTTATTTACTGTATTTTAATTTTTTTTATAAATTTTATTTCTTTCAAATAAATCTTGAAAATTGAGGAAAACTTACTTCTCCTCTTCTTCTTTCAATTGCTGAAGAATTGGCATGGATTTTAATCGTCTATTGCTGAGGATGCTCCAAATAACTGAATCGGGCTTTTTAAGCTTCTCACTGACTATAATGGTTTGAGTTGGCGTGACAATAATGTCTACAGGTAAATCGTGCGATTGAAAAAGATGAGACGGAAGATCCTCAATTATTTGACAATCGTGAACAGTGGTGACGACAATGGTGTCAGCACTCACAGCTCCCATCCTTGACATTAATGCAAATTCCAGATCTGCATATCCTTCGCCATCGCCAACTCTGTGTCCTGTAGGACTCACGCACACCGAACCCAAAACTACCAGATCCACCTTTAAAAAACACAAAAAAAAATATTACCAACAAATAGAAAATATTATTTTATTTTTTTTTATCTCTAATTATCATTACTTTTATCTTTATTCATTCCTCTTGAAATATTTTATCAGGTTTCGTTGAAATATTATAAAGCTAAATTTTATAAAAATTCAATTAAAAAAAATGAATAAAAATTAAAAATTGTCACTTTAGTGAGTAATTTCAATTATTAATTTTTGTTCTAATTATTATTTTATAAAAAGAAATAAAATCATTCAGGTTTGCCATAAAAATTAAATTTTCTTTTTTCCTGACTTTTTCCTGATTTCTAGATAAAATTTTAATTTTATTTCCTGAGCCCAAAAAATATTTTAATTCACTCTAAAAATGATTAGAAATTTAAAAAAATGTTCTATTACATTTATTTACGAATTTCTTTAATTGCAAAATTATTCAAGAACATCAATAACTTCTTTTTCAACTGAATATTTAATTATTATTATTTTTCCATAGGAATTAAGATTTTTAAAAATTTCAAATTCTTAAACAACTTTAAAAATATTATTATAAAACAAGAAGAAATTGATAACTCCGAGTCTTCAACTCGGAGTGATCGATTTCTTCATGTTTTATAATAATTCCAGATGATTGAGTGATAAAATTTTTATTTTTTGTTATAAGAATATTGTTATTGAAACGTCTTTAAAATTATTTTCACCATTTCAATTCAATTAATATTTTCTACAATTTTTAACTAAAATCCTTCTCTAAATCAATTAATTTTAATAATTATTGAAAAAGTTTTTTGAGCATTTTCAAATCCATTTGTTTACAATTCAATTTTTACAAAATTTCGATTATTCGGAAATTCTTCAACTAAATATTTTATTAGAAAATAAAAGACTTAAAATAATTTCAAAAAAATTCAATTAAACTTTTTCAAAAAAATTAATTTTACAGAATAATTGTTAATTAAAAGTATAAAAAATACAAATTTTCAAAAAATTTAATTTGAAACATTTTCAAAATTCAATTATTTCTAAAAATTCATGATTTAATGCTTTTAATATTCAATTATAATCTAAAATTTTAACGAAAATTCATTTTTAAATCAATTTTTATCAAAAACTTCTACGAGAATTCAATTATTTAAATAGAGAAATAAATGATTAAATGAACAATTGATTATTTCTTCGAATTCAATACTTATAAAGAATTTTATCAAAAATGTTATTTATATAATTGAATTCTTTCGAAACAATTTAATTAATTTTTTTTAAGAATAATTGCATTTTTTGATGAATTGATTTCAAATTGTATTAAAAATAATGGAATTCTTGTAAACGAATTTTATGAAATTTTTTTTTTTGAATAATTGAATGTTTTTATTAAAAATATATGAATTTTTATAAACAAATTTGATTAAAATCATTGACAATAATCGACTTCTTTCGGAGAATTTTGTAAATATTTTTTCAAATAATTAATTTCTTTCAACAAAATTTTCGAAAATTGTATTTTAAATAATTGAATTTTAGTGAAAATTTTTTTTTTTTTTATGAAATAAATTGAATTTTTGGGAAAAATTTCAATAAATTTTTTGTTTATAATTTTTTATAAATAATTGAATTATGTGAAATCTAATTAAAATGATAGATATTGAAAATAATTGAATTCTTGTGAAAAATTTTCTTCAAATTAAAAAATAATTGAATTGTTTCAAAAAATTTTATTAACAATTTAAGAATAATTACATTTCTCGAGGAATTCGATTAAAATTGTTTTAAAATTTCTGTTAAATAATTGAATTCTTTTGAAAAATTTTATTAAAATAGTGAGTATTGAAAATCATTGAATTGTGGGAAATTTTTGAAAATAATTGAAATTGTGCGATGAGTTTTATTATTTATAAAATAAATTGAATTCTTGCGAAGAAATTTGTAAATAATTGAATTCCTGTGAAATTGTTATAATTTATAAAAATAATTAAATGTTTGCGTAGAATTTTATTAATTTTTTTTTTAAATAATTGAATTCTTCTGGAAAATTTTTGAAAATAATAAATTTTAAACGCAACTCTTTGAAAATTTAATTAATTTTGAAATATAAAGTAAAATTATTCATTAAATAATTTGTAAGTAATAATTTTGTGATAGTTCTTCAAGAATTAAGTTATTTAAAAAGAAATTATTGTCAGAAATAGAAAAAATTGAAGATTTTGTATTAGAATTCGTGTTAATTCCATAGTTTATAAAGCAAACATAAAAGACACAAAAATTTAGAATTTTCTTATAAATTCTAATAATTAAATTAAGTGTCACGCAACGAAAAATATTTATTGATAAAATACTTACTTTAATATCTGAATGTAAACCGACTGCTTCTTCGATTTGTTGGATGCCATGTTTCGTTATAACTAACTTTTGTTCCTCTTCCGTTGGGTCAGTTACGCGAGTGACAAGATTGAAAAGACCATTTCTCAATCTTTGTTTCGGCAAAAGAACTTTCTTGTCATTTTCCAACGCCAAGTTCTTCACAGTCTCTTGCGGCTTATCCGGACTAATTTTGATGATTTTAGCTTCCTTAAATTCTTCCAATTCCGTTAAACGTTTAGCTGCTTCAGCTGCACCCTTAAAATTTGGTATCCTATTGTGCGATTTGTTAGACGATAAAATCACCGCTTCTTTCCTGGTTAAATTCACCCAAACCTTCCGACGAAATTTTCGCTTCGTATCTCCTTCCACTTCGGCTAAAAACAAGACAATAATTAATTATTTTTTATTATTTGACTCTAAGAAATAAATTTATTAATTATTATTATTATTAATTATTATTATTCGACTCTAGGTAATAAATTTATTCATTATTAAAGTTGTTTTTAATAAACTTAAAAACTATAAAATAATTTTGAATTCAATTCATCTTCATCGAAAATTTGCCATAAATTATTATCTAAATAATAATTTTAATGTTAATTTTAAAATTACAAATCAATTTTTTTTAATTACAGGGCTCGGATCGTCTTTAAGACTCAAAAAAAGTCGCTTTAGTCGCATAAATTAACAACAAAAGTCATGAAAAGTTGCATAAAATTTCCGAAAAAGTCGCATGAAATTTTAGAGAAAATGACAAAAAAGAAACACCAAATTGTAAAAATTGTAAAAGAAATCACATTACTCGACAATACATACTTTAATTTCAAAAACAATCCGGAATACAATTTTAATAAAATTCTAAGCAAAATTTTAATTAGGTATTTTTAACATTTTTTTTTAAAATTCTCTTTAAAATGTCAATTATTTATCCTGGAAATTTAATTATTTTCAAAAGTTCTGATAAAATTAATTAAGTGTTAAAGTTAAAAATAAAATTTCTGATAAAAATCTTTGCAAAATTTAATTATCTTCAAAAGTAAGAAAATTCGTCTCAGAAATTCAATTATTATCAAAATTTTTTTTTAAATTCTCATTAAAATTTCAATTATCTTCATAAATATCAAAATTCTTCTGCAAAATTCAATTACTTTTAAAATTTTCTAAAAAATCTGTTAAAAATTTCAATTATCTTTATAAATAATAATATTCGTCTCTGAAATTCAATTATTTGCAAAAATTTTAATAAAATTCTTCTCGTAATTTCAATTCTCTTTATAAGTAATAAAATTTATCCTATAGAAATTCAATTATTTTCAAAAGTAATAAAATTTTTCGTAGAAATTCAATAATTTTCAAAAAAAATTTTGTTAAATTTCTCGTCAAAATTTTAATTATTTTTAGAAATAATTAATTCAATTATTTTCAAAAGTTCTAATAAAGTAAGAAAATTCTTTGCAGAAATTCAATTATTTTCAAAAAAATTTTTTAAATTCTCCTGAAAATTTCAATTATTTTTATAAATGTCAAAATTCTTCTGCAACATTCAATTACTTTAAAAATTTTTTTTTTTAAATCTGTTTAAATTTTAATTATCTTTATAGATAATCCGAGCCCTGTAATTATTAATTAGTTTTCCAATTTTATTTCTAGAGGAGAAAATTTTTCTTCTAAAAAGAATTAAATATATTTTGAAGGTAAAACTTGATTTTATATATTTGTGATTTGTAGAAGGTTCTTAGGGGTAAACATAAGAATCGTGTATTTATCCAAAAAAAATGTAAACAGAAACACTTGGACAATAGATAACAATATTGTCGTGTAGCAATTCTGCCACCCTAAGCACGTGTGACTCATTCAATTTTAATCTTATTAATACAAAATTATTTTCATTAACGTAATTAATATTACACAAAAATTAAACAATAAATAAACATAAAAAAGCTCCAAAATTTTTATCAGTAATTGATGAACAAATTGAACCAATTGGAATATAAATTGATTCAATCAATATAAATTCAATTTAATAAACAATTCAATCAATATTAATTTAATTAATTCCTAATCGTATAAACTAATTAAAAGATAATAAACAAACCTATAATTAATAATTAATAATTAATAATAGAAATCTAGAATAATAATTTTCAAAGAAAAACAATTATCGAGAAAAATCGTAATCAAATCATAACGTAACAAATATTAATCATATTTATAAATAGAAAAAATAATTAATAAACAGAATTCCAATTTAATATGTTAATTTTCAAAGAAATAATAAAAAAAATTATTATAAATTGAGAAATAATTTGAAATTTTACTCACGACTCTTTTCCTCGGGCATCGTGACTTTCTGATCAAACGTCTTCTCCATAAAGTTATCAGCTAACTGATTTTCAATCAAATGAATTTTACTGAGAGATTTTCCGCAAAAATATAAATACGCGCTGATTATCCGTATTTTTCCCCACTTTATTTCTGTTTCTATTACGACGAGCACAGCCGGTAAATTTACCACTGAAAAATCACCAAAAGTTTGACTTACCCAATTTACATCATCAACATTTTATGCACAGAAATTTCAAATTAATAAAAGAAGGAAAAACTGTTAATATCTGTTATAACGACATGATCGTCTTTTTTCTATTTCTATGAAATATATAAATAATAACAAAAGACGAGAAATAAAAAACATTTGTTATTTTGAGAAAGTATGCGCGCGTCAAATAGTTACTTTTGTATTCATCAGTTGGCACTCACTGTTTTTGCGGAAAACGTCGAAAATACCCGATTATAACAGGATCGTAGCTAGAAATCAGCTATACATACAGATTATTTGTTTAAATCGTTTAAATACATAAAAGCATACTTTTATATTAAAAGAATTAATTAGTAAAGAAAATTACCCCGACAGGTAACAATTTAGGTTGAAAAGTGAGGTTATGTCACTTCAGTCCAATAATCACGAAGTGTCAAATTTTCCACAATTTTCAAGAAGAGAAATTTGATATTGAACAGAATGTATAGATACGTTCCTGAAATTAAGTTCATTAAACGTCGACTGCTCCGATCCGTCGTGGAAAATGGCTTTACTGGCAAGGAACGTCTGCAGGGTATTTTCCCAGGTGAGAAAATCTATTAAAATCTTGGCAAATACAAATATTTGCAACATTGTTCAAAGCTTTTGATAATTAAGAATTAATTAATACACGGTGGGGTTAATTTTGAAATGCCTCACAAGTTATGTCGAGAAACGAGAATTTCGGAAGTCTTGTATGAAGATTTTTTTTTACAAGGGCATTTTAAATACTCTCGAATTAAATTTACATAAAATTATACAATTAAGTATTATTTTCGATTTACTATTGAAGTTGCAGTAGAACTCGTGATGTAAGAGAAGTATCATTTTTATGTTTGTTCGTAAGTTTTTTGACACTGAACAAAATTGGTACCTATAGTTAACTAATCAGATGATTGAGCAATGTATTTTTTTTTTTGCTGTGACTAACTTGTGATAAAAAAAATTGCTTCTGGCTGATTGAAAATTATCAGAAAATAAAGAAAGTAAAATTAAAAGAGAATGCTTGAGAGAATCTTGTGATACTTGTGATTAACGCATTTAATTTTGATATAAATTAACCTACTTTTTGTGTGAAAATTTTTGATTTCTTTTTTTGTGTAAAAACATATTAAATGGCAATTGTAATTTTCAGGCAACTCAAAAAGGATCTTCGAGAACATTTCACGTAGGCTCCGTTTGTTTAAGCGAGCCGGTTGGTACTTCAGAAGCTGTATGTTAACTAACAGAAGTTGGCAGTAAACCGACATTCTTTCTTTTATTCTAAATTAATGAAAAATATTGGCTAAATAAATAATTTCACAGAAATGGTTGAAATTTGTCAAAATTGTTATTTCGGCTCGATTCGAATTCAAAAGAAAAGAAAAACAATTACTGCAAATTTTTTACGTGTGAAGACTAACTTGTTTTATTTATTCATTTTTTGATTTCTATATATATTCTTTTGTTTATTTATTATTTTTATTTTATGATTTTGTGTGTATTTTATCGATTTTTATTTATTTTTACTTTTACTTTATTTATTTTTATGATTTATTTTATTTTTACTTCTACTTTATTTATTTTTATGATTTGTGTATTTTTTATTTTACTTTATTTATTTTTATGATTTGTGTATTTTTATTTATTTTTATTTCAAGACACAGTGTTTCACTATTTTAATGGAGAAATTGCTTTTTTTAGACTGTCGAACGTCAGGGAAAGACAAAATGTACCTTGATCCCTGGAGATGGCGTGGGACCAGAATTGGTGGTCGCAGTTCAAAATATTTTCCAAGCTGCCGATGTCCCAGTTGAATTTGAACCATATTTTCTCTCTGAAGTAAATCCCACGTTAAGTGCTCCATTGGAACAAGTTTCAAATAGTATTGCAAGAAATGGAGTTTGTCTCAAGGTATAATTTCAACTCAAATTAAGATTATCTTAAATCTTTGATTTTCATAATAATTGAAGTCTTGTGAAATTAATTTTAAAAGAATTTTTTAAAATTAATGTAATTTAGGATTGTAAAAATGACTATTTTCGATTAATCAATTTAATACAAGAAAAAGCCTCTGATATTATAAATTTTTTCGACCTATTTTAAAAAATTGCTACTTTCTCGACTTTTCTTACAAATATTGCAATAAAACACCATAATTTTAGTATAAAATGCAACTTATTTCGATGTTTATAGTGTGAAAAATAACTGTAGACAAATCTTTGAAAAAATATTTTGAATAATTTTTTAAAAATAATTAAACTTTTAAAATATGGCTACAATTAAACATTTATTGAATAATTCAGTGTTACCACAGGTCAAGAAATTCAAGGAAAGTAAAATAGGTCAGAAAAATTAGGAGAAAGTCAGTGATTTTTATTAAAAGTACTGGAAAAAATTAAATTTCTAGAATTCAGAAGAAAATTCTGAATTTTTAAGTCTTTTTTGTTTTCCTCATAAACTATGAAAAAATTACCACGAATTCTAATACAAAACCTTCAATTTTTTCTATTTCTGACAATAATTTCTTTTTTAATAACTTAATTTTTGAAAAACTGTCATAAAGTTATTGTTTATAAATTATTTAGTGAATAATTTTACTTAAATGTTTCAAAATTAATTGAATTTCAAAAGAGTTGCGTTTGCAATTTTCATACATAAATAAATGAACTTTAAAATAAAGGTTTCAATTTCAAATTTTAGAAAATTTCAATTCTGAATGTACTTAATTAGAAATTTTTATGAACTTAGATTCTTGGAAAATTTCAATAATTCAAATTCTTCTGAAATTAGATTAATTTTTTAATATATATATTTATTTAATCATTAAAAATAATGGATTTATAGAAGAATTTTAGATAAAAACACTGAAATAAATTGAATTATGGAGAAGTTACAAATGACTGCAGAAATTCGATTATTTTCAAAAGTAATAAAATTCTTCCCAGAAATTAAATTATGTTTAAAATTTTTTTTTAATTTCTAGTCAAAATTTAAATTATCTTTTATAAATAATAAAATTCTTCTACAAAATTTAATTATTTATTATTATTATTTAAATAAAACTATTGATGTTTTTGCTTAATTTTACAATTACAGAAATTCGTAAATAAATGTAATAGAACCTTTTTTTGAGTATCTAATAATTTTTAGAGTGAATCAGAATATTCTTCAGGATTAGGAAAGGAGTCAAAATTTTGTCTAGAAATTAGGAAAAGTCAGGGAAAAACAAAATTAAATTTTTGTGTCAACCCTGTAAGTGCAATTTGGTAAAATTTAATTACAAGTAAATTTTTAATTAAAATTCTTCAGGAAATTAATTAGTTTTTTAAACTATACCAAAATTCTTTTAAGAAATTCAATTATTTTCGAAAAATTATATAACAATATTTTGAAAAATCTAATTCTCAGAATTCCAATCAATTATGTAACAGAAAAATAATTCTTAGAATTGTTTTATCAATAATTTTTTAAGATTCAATTATTATCTTCGAACAAAGTGAATTAAAATTTTAAAAATTTTCGCTTTATAATTATTTAAATTTTCTGAGAAATCCTATTATTCATTATTTTTTTAATTTAAATTCTTCAAAAATTTGATTATTTTTTAAATATTTTTCAAAAATCATCCAATTATTTTTTAAAAGAGTTTACCGTTTTTTAATTGTTTGTAAATTTTTCAATTGTAAATAATTTTATTATTTTCCAAAAATTATTTTAAAATATTGTTAAAAATTAATTTAAAAAATTTCTTTATTATAACTTTTTTGAAAATATTATATCTTAATAACTTTAAAGGAAAACTTGGACAGTTACAGTCACAATTATTATAAAGAATTTAGTTTTTGTATTTAAATAATTGAATTTTGGAAAGGTTATTGATGTAATTTTTAGAAATTATTAAATTTTAGTAAGTTTTAAATTGCAATTTTTTTAAATTTTATTTCCCGCAGAAAGCAAATAAGAAATATAATTAAATATTTATTTAAGGAGATTTTCTGGTCAAGGATTTTAAAAAAAATCGATCTTTCTTTTTTTGCTTTAAAATATTCCTTAGTATCATAAAATTACTGTCCCAAAACATTTTTTAAGAAATATTTAAAAGGAAAAAAGTTATAGTAATTTTATGGCCGTCTCATAAATTTATGACCGTTTTTAAAAAACCAAAAACCATTCGATTCTTTATCTAAAAAACTAGACAACAAACATCTAAAATTTTACATTTACAATCCCTTTAACAAAATTATTCAAGTTTTGTATAATTCAATTTAGAAATCAGTGAAAGGTCAGGGAAATACAAAATTAAGTTTTAATGACAACAGTGAATTTAAATAAACTACTTTTTCGACTTTTTTCTATTTCTAAGCGATTTTTTTTTTATTTTCTAGGGAATTTTAGCAACTCCGGATCATTCGTCGACAGGAGAATTACAGACCTTGAATATGAAATTGCGAAAAAGTTTAGACTTGTACTCGAATGTAGTGCACGTGAAATCCCTGCCAGGAGTGAAATCTCGTCACAGCAACGTGGACTGTGTAATTATTCGTGAACAAACGGAGGGCGAATATTCCGCCTTGGAACACGAGTCAGTAAGTGGTGTCATCGAATGTTTAAAAATTGTCACTGCAACCAAAAGCCAAAGAATCGCAAAGTTCGCGTTTGACTTTGCCGTCAAAACTCATCGCAAAAAGGTCACATGTGTTCACAAGGCGAATATAATGAAACTAGGCGACGGTCTCTTCTTAAGATCGTGCCAGGAAATAGCTAAATTATACCCTAAGTAAGACAATGCTCTTCTTATTTGAGTAAATTTAATATTTCGTACTTTATTTGTTATTTTTTTAATTCAATATAATTCATTTTATTTATTGACGGGATAAATGTTTATTAAATTAAATTATCTTTTCCATTGAATTAAGAATTCAACTTACTATTCGAACTTACATTTTTTATTTCATTTCTAATACTTGGATCTTTTTTCAAGAACAGAATTAAATTCGAGCCCATGATTGTTGACAATTGTACAATGCAAATGGTCTCTAATCCACATCAATTTGATGTGATGGTCATGCCAAATTTATACGGAAATATTGTCGACAATTTGGCATCAGGATTAGTCGGTGGTGCTGGAGTTGTTGCTGGTGCTAGTTACAGCGCAGAATGCGTTGTTTTTGAACCGGTAAGAATTTTTTCCCCAAATAAGAATTTAATTTTTAATTCATTTTTACATCTATTTATTTACTTTTTTCGAATTAAACTCAAGACTTTCTGGATTTATTAAATTGAGAAGTTTCAACACTGACGTCGGCGTTGAAACGTCTCAATTTAATAAATAAGAATAATCCAGAAAATCTTGAGTTTAATTAAAAATTGTAATATTACTGGATGACTCCAAATAATTTTGGAAAAAACTTGAAATATTTATTTACTGAAATTATTCTATGTAAAATAACAATTCTTTTCCAATTTCAAGGGAGCGAGGCATACGTATTCAGAAGCTGTGGGAAAAAATGTTGCAAATCCAACGGCAATGATTTTGTGTGGTGTGAAACTTTTGAATCATGTAAATTTGAAACGTTATGCGGAGAAAATTAAGGACGCATTAAATCGCGTACTGAACGATGGAAAAGTGCGCACGAAAGATTTAGGAGGTCAAAGTTCAACGACTGACTTCACAAGTGCTATAATTCATAATCTTCAATAGAAAGATTTCGATGACAAGTTTTTTTTTTCAAAGAAATTATAACCAATCTGTAGGACAACCTAGGATGTTCCTCGTCAAGTATTGGGCAATATTTTTGCCTTTGTCAAAGTCAATTTGAATGAAAAATGTTTTTTATGACGAACTGATTGATTTTAAATTATATATATGAAATTCAATGACAATATTTTCTTCAAAAAGACTTTGATAGCTAAAATACAGGTATATACAGTATCTATGACAATGCCATTTTATTTATTTGTAATTCTATTCGTCCTACTGAAGAAATGTAGTAAAAATACAAATCGACTCTTTTTATTCTGTTGAAAGGATACGAAACACGAAGGAACTTGCGTGTGTTGTACCATAGACAATTGTAATATAATTAACTTATACCACTTACATGTAATAAATTGAAGTTCGTTAAACATTAAAAATGTTTTTAAACGTATTGAATTAAAATTTTCTTTTATAACATTACTTTAATTAGATAAATTGATTTTCCCAATATTTGCATTTTATTTGTAACTTATAAAATTCGATTCTTTCAAATATAAAATATATTACAATGAAATTTGAGAAAAATCCCTACTTTTTTCAATTTTTAAAATTACTTTTCGAGAATTTAATTATCTTAAAAAAAATTGAATTAATTACGATTTTTTAGAAACCATATTTTTCAGAATTTCTATTATAAAATTTTTCAATTTTTCATTACTTTTTGAATACTTATTGTTATTTATTTGTTCGGAAGGAATTAAAATTTAAATATATACTTTCCATGTCAAATTTTTCGAAATTTAATTATTTATAAAAATTAGAACTGCAATTATTCCAATTCTTCAAATATTTACTAAAATTTAAAAACTGAAATTCTTTTCCAAATCAATTCTTATGAAAAAGTTGTATTTTTTTATTTAAATAATTGAATAATTATTTAAATCAAAAAATAAATAATTTATTATTTCTAAAAATATATTTTTTGAAGCTCTACCTTCACGTGAGGACAGAATGTCTCAATTATTATTATATAATATAATAATTGCTTGTACCTAATTTTTATTTATTTTTTTTTTATTTTTCGTTTAGAAATTTATTTTAATGTATTTGTATTTTAGCGCCATAAACTACAAATGAACCGTGCAATCTGATTGGTTGTTTTGGCTACACAGCTGTTTACTAACCTAACCTTGTAGTGTTTATGATAAAATTATTGACATGTGACGCATGTGACGTTGACACAAAAATTGAATATTGAACATATTTTTTCGATAAAAAAATGGTTTCTGACAATTATGAAATTGAAACAATTCGACAGGAAATTGTTACAAATCATTTGGAAGTGACAGCTTTGATACAGGTAGAGATTGAACCAGTGTAAATATTATTTTACTGACGAACTTTTGTTTCTAACCTATATTTTACAGATTCAAAACATTCAAAAAATTATTGTATTTACAATAAAAATGTCTATAAATATGACTTAAAACATTAAAATATCTTATATTACTTGTGTAAAAACAATTGTATTTATATTTAGTTTTCTTTTGCCTTTTTTAAGTAAAATTAGAGTTTAAAATTTTAGTCCTTCAACTGTCAAATATTTAATTATTTATTTTTTATTTTTTAACACAAATTTAATTTGTCAAGTAATTAAAAATTTTATTAAACAATAAAATAGTTAAATAATAATGGTAAAATGGGAAAAAAACCAAAAAAGGTTGAATATAAGTAAGTCACGTTTTAATTAAATAAAGAATCTTTATTTTATACTTAATTTTCAAGGATATACAACAATGTACAGGACCCCTGGAATTTTTAAACGAATTGAACACGGAGGGAAGAGGAAAAATTGCCGCCTTAAGATCAAGTATCGATAAGCTTGTTAATGCAACTGAATTAGAAATCAATGAGAAAAAAAAGTCGGAATTACTCCTGGAAATAGAAAATCATCGAGCGCAAATGTCGACAACAATGAAGGCTTTTAGAAAAGCGAATGTCATTAGTTCGTGTGTCATTGATAAAATGTCAAGGGGCGATTTGCTGGCATCATCTGAAGAACAAAGTAATATTTTACGAAAAAGAAAAGACAAAAAAGTTCTCGTTGATACTTCGTCTCAATTGACTGAAAAATTATCGAGTATTTCGAGGCATTTAGCTGAAACGACACAAAGGAGCGCCGATACACTAGAAACGCTAAGTAATTGATTAAAACTTTTTATAATTTAATTTCTAACTTAGTAACTTGGTTTGTATTTGCTTTATTTTCTTATATTAAAATAAGGCAAATAAAATGACAACATTTGGACAATGAATAATAATTTATATTTACTCCAACATTTCGAAATCTAAATGATTTCCTCTTCACAATAATAGTTCACAATAAAATAAAAATAATTTGTCAAAATAAGTAAAAACATATTGCAAACTGCAAAGTCAAATTTAAAACTCTTAAATTTTATCATTCATTAAATTTAGTTTAGTTTTTTTCCAAAGTAGTAGAAAATTATAAAATTTCTAAAAATGCTACTAAAATACTGGTTTTTGTTTTTTGAAAATCTTGAAAACTTTAAATTGTCCTTGAATGTTTTGATATACTTTAAAATACTTTAGTTATACTGTAAAATACAGGTTTTCTACAGAACTTGGAAATTATGGGAAAAGCCTGGAATTTTTATCAATTTATAAATTTTACAAGTTTTCCTTTTTTCTCTTTGATAATTTCCAAATTTTTCAGATTCTATTTTTTTAATTTTTATATTTTGTTCGTAAACATAAAAAATTATTTTTAACGTATGCGTGAGATATTAATTTAAATCACATGAAAATTGTATTCAAAATTTTACTGAAATTTTCTGAAAAATGACCTAGAAAACCTGGAAAAAGCCTGGAATTTTGAATTAGGAATTTTAAAAACAGATCATAAATAGTTGCAATTGCAGTTTTTAAGAATACTTGAATTTTTTTATTTAAATAATTAAATTCTAGAAGAACTTTCAGAAAATTATTAAAAATAATTGATTTCTCCACAATATTTTCATTCAAAAATTATATTTGGTTCGAACAATTTTTTTTTGATTCTGTGTCGAAAAAAGATGAATAGGTTGCGACATAATTCAAGAAACCCTTTATCGAGAATAAATAATTATAAATTAGACAATTTGTAAATTATGTTGACACTTTTGTCAAAATAAATAATATTGATCACCAAAAAATAAACAAATTTCCGATTTTATAGCGTAAAAAGTTAAAACGTTGCTTTTTCACATGTTTCATTATTTATTTTGGATTTTTTGACTTTGGACATTTTTATTTTGGATTTTTTGTACTTTGGACTTTTTTTCTTGCATTTTTCGGTCTGGATTTTTTGTCCTGGTAATCATAAAATATAGCATATTTAAAAAATTCACGAAATTTGCAACAAATTTCATGTAGAATATTATTTTCTGTCTTCTGATATTGAGGGAGAAAAACTCTTTCGAAAAGTACACTGTTTTTGAAAACATTAAGTTTCAATAATTCGTAACTTTTGTAATTTTCATCAAATCTCAAAATAAAAAATACGTATTCATTTTTTTTCGATACAGATTCAAAAAAAGAATAAATTATTCTAACAAAATCCAGTTTTTGAATGAAAATATTGTGGAGAATGCCCCATATATAAGAATTTTGCATAACAATTTTAGAAATTACAATTTAACAGTTGCAGAAGAGTAAATTATAGGTAGTAGATATTTTTAGAAATAATAACATCTTAAAAAGTTTGAAATTAAAATTTTTTGAAAATTTGAATTCTAATTTTTTTTCAAAAACTCTAAAGGACTTACATAATTTTTCTGAAAAATTTTTATTCATATATTTTCTGAAATTAGTTGAATTTTTGAACTCTCAATTATTAAAAAATGTTTGAATAGTCGAAACTTCATAAAATTGAATTTGAAACAATTTAATTTTAGTCGCACTTCAACTAAACTATCCTTTATTTTTGAATAATTGAATTCTGAAAGCACTTTCTCAAAATTATTAACATTAATCGATTTAGAGAAGAATTTTAGTGAAACGTTCTTGAAAATAATTGAATTTTGGAGAAATTACAGTACTTAACAATTCTGAGAAATAGATGCATTTCAAAAAGTTTTTGGAAATTTTAGTTGATGTTGAAAAGTATATAATAATATTTAAATATTTAAAAAAGAACAATTTTTCGAAATAATTAAATTTCAGAAGGTTTCAAATTAGAAATTATGAAAAATATAAATAAGTATTTAACAAAAAAAAATTATTTAACAAATTTATTGAAGTTTAAAGAATTTGAATACCCACAATTTTTATAAGTAATTGTATTTTTGAAGGAAAATATGAAAAAGAAGATGAAATCAATCAGCAAGTGATAGATCCTCGATTTTGCTCTCCAGCATAGTTAATTCCCCATTTTTTCAGTTTTAGTTTTCAAACAAAATGAGGAAAAAGACATTTTTAGAAAAAATTTTTTTCATTATTTTTGTTAAAATAAAGTGACCTGAAGATTATGTCAAACTGAGACATCGAAACATTGTAAAACTGAATTAGTGTTTTCATTTACTTTCAATAATCGAACAGAATTAATCTACAATGCATTTTTTTATTTTTTTAGTTACTTCTTCGGAAAAGGTGACTGGCACAGAAAGGGAGCTGGTAGATCAAAGACAAGTGATTGTTCAGTCGGGAAAACTTTTGGGAAAATACGGTCGACGTGAAATAACGGACAAAATTTTATTGGCTCTTGCTTTCGCATTTTTCCTCGCATGTGTGGGATACATTTTACAGAAGAGACTTAGGTGAGCTTTTATTTTTTATAAAACCAAATTTAAATATTTTTTATGGTTCTTGTTTCATTGAGTTTCTTACACTCTTTTTTACATTTAAGGGCATAGGTTTTATGAGATTTTAATTTTATCAAAAGTTACAGTGTTTTTAATTTTGTTCTAATATAGTTGAAAATTCTGGCGTGGATTCCCTTAATTAACAATTATTAAATATTATTATTAATGTCAAATAGTATAAAAAATAATTAAGAATCTTAATTAAAAATACTTAGTATAAATGTATAAACTTTTATTTCCATTAAATAGACATTACGAATACACTAAAATAATGAGATCAATAAATATTTACAAGCATTAGTATTTTGTTAATAAATGACAAAATTTATTATTAAATTTAATTTATTTTCAAACTATATAATTTAGTTATTATAAATTAAGTCATAATGCCTCATTTAACTTCAGTATCTAAATAATTTTTATTTCAGTAATAATTAAACGAATTTTTCAGTTTCTCCTATACAATTAACATACAATTACCACCATATGTCGTCGAATATCGTTAATTGGTTGCAAATTAATTGATCCTGCAAATGAAGATTCGATTAATTACAAAGTTTTGAAAATAATAAATTTTTTAATTCTACTTTGAAATAAATAAAAAAATTGTAATTACAATATCTAAAGTCTAATTGTATTATAATTATAATATTTTATTTGTAATGCATATTTTTAAATATTTTGTTTATCTTTTTAAAATATTTTGTTTTATTATAATATTCAACTGAAAATCTTTTTTTCAAATAAGAATTAATTAATTTAATCAAAAGGACTAATTGACTGAATAGTCACATTCTAATTTAAATTCCTAATTTATTTTAATTAGTAGTATGAAGTTAATTGAATAATACATTTTTACAGCTGGTTATGAATTCTTCTTTGGATATGATTCCGTCTTTGTCAAGATCCATTTTTTCGAAAATGCGATTTACATGCCTGTCAACGGCGCGCTCAATCGATCGGGTGTTTTCCACGACTTCATAAATGGCACTTACAATGGACATCATCTCGTTACGTGTTATGTGTCCATCACCATTCAAATCGTACAACCTAATTAAAATCGTAAGTGCATTTACCAAAAATGACAAATATTCCATCTCTCTTTCTTTTATTTTTAATGAAGTTGTGACTTTATTTCAAATATGTAAGTGTTTTTATTATTTATATTTATTTACATAAATTAATTAAGTTTTAGTATACGAAGCAAGAAACAATATTTATATTAATAAATTATTATTCAGGTGCAAATTTTCTTTGTAAACTTTGGGAAGTATAGAGGATTTTTATAAAGATATATTTTTAAATATATTTTGTCTACCTGAAAATCCACGAAAGCTTTTTGTCAGTGTCACCTTTTACTATTGACGCTATTCCATTAATTAAATCGCTAAACGTAATTATTCCGTCTTTATTTTCGTCAAACGTGTTGAAGACAATTTGAGCATATTTTCGAGGATCGCCCAAGGGAAATAATTTTGCGTAAACTGGTCTGAGATTATTCGTTGTCACAACACCGCCAGGACAATGTTGCTTAAAGGCACGATAAAATTTACGTATTTCATGCCTGGAAAATCCAGTTTGATATTCCAGGTGTTCTAAACGCTCGGGGATTATATGCGTTGGTTGTTGCACCTCGTCTTGCATTTCCTCTATAATAAAGATCAAAATTGATAATGATAAAAATAAAAAAATATATAAAAATATAAAATATAAAACTCAAGAGTAAAAAAAAACAAAAGAAAATTTATCAAAAGGTAATTTTTTTATGTTTAATATTTTTGCTTTTTGTAATAATCTATAAAAAACAGTTTAAAAATTAAATTAAAGCACAATCGAATTTAATATTAAAATAATCAGGGAAAATAGTTTCTAATTTTCTCTAATTAGAAAATTTTGAAAAATTTGTTAAAACTCATCGCTGCGGGGAAAATTGAAACGTACCAGCTATCTTCTTCATGCTCTGCTTAACTTTTGAAATGCTGTTTTTCATTTTCCGGGTAAAGCTAAAATGCTTGTGCTCCGAATCATTGGGATCTTCAACACTTTCGTTTTCTGACATTTTCAAATCTTTATAAATAAATTCAAGTGTAGTTAAAAATCTATTTTTTTAAACTCTGTAGTCAATTTTAAAAATTAGTCATCTACGTACGATTTTATTTTAAAAATTATTAATTGATTGTTTAAAAAGCAAGGGGGGTCTATGTTTCTAATTATGATAAGAAGCTAAAGCTATTTTTTTTAGAAAGCGCAAAATCGAAGCTACCAATTCTTTTGTTAAAATCTTAACATATATAGATAATTAAATGTTTTAATTTAATAAATGAAAACGCAGCATGAGAAAGTTATTATATTTTTTTAAAATGGAGTGGTCAAACTAAAATTGAAATTCTACGCATTAATAATATGATAATTAATAATAAAAGTTGCAATTTTCTTATTTTTAAAAATATCAGTATTTTTTTTATTTTCCTTTTTTTGTTGAAAGTAGAAAATTTTTCGTTCTTATTAAGATAATTATTAAATTTTGTTTTCTGTTTATTTTAATTAAATTTCAAAAATTTAGAAGTCAAATTTCAGAATCAGGAAGTAATAGATAAAAATTCTGCTTTGTCGTTTTAATTATATTTTTATTTTATTTTTTATTTTTCAGGCTTACCACAGGTCAGGGAAAACTAAGGGATTTTTATTAAAAATACTGAACAAAATGAAATTTTTAGAATTCATAATTCTGGTTTCTTTTTTGTTTGCATTATTTACACATTTTCTATAAATTTCTTCGCAATAATTCAATTATTTTCATAAATAATAAAACTCATTGCAGAATTTCAATTATTTTTAATACAATTTTAATCGAATTCCTCGAAAAATGTAATTATTCTTAAAAATTTTATTAAAATTCGTCAAAAGAATTCAATAATCTTCAAAAATTTGAAAAAAAATGTTCACAAGAATTCAATTATTTTCAATATCTATCTATTTTAATAAGATTTCACAAAATTCAATAATTTATAAAAAAAAAAAATTAATAAAATTCTTTCCAAAAATTCAATAAATTTCATAAAAAAATTTTACAGAAATTCAATTATTTAAAATACATTATGTTTGAAAGAAATTAATTATTTAAAACAATATTTTTAAAATTATCAGAATAAAGTCCATTATTGTCAATGATTTTAGTAAAATTTGTTTATGAGAATTAATATATTTTTCATAGTATTGTACATAATTAAATTCTTTGAAAAAAAAATAATAAAATTATCCACAGATATTAAATTATTTAAAAAAATTATTATAAAATTCGTTGCAAGAATTCAATTACTTTCACAAATAATAAAATTTTCTCAACATTTCAATTATTTTTAATACCTACAATTTGAAAAAAATTCCTCGAAAAATGCAATTATTCTTAAAAAAATTCATAAAATAGAAAGAATTCAATTATTTCAAATTTAAAAATTTGTTGTTAAAATTCTTTATAAAAATTCAATTATTTAATAAATTATTTATTTTTGTATAAATCATTGAATTCTCGTGGAATTTTCTATTGAAAATTGATTTAAAAATGAAATTCAGTTAAAATTTTAGATAATTGAATATTAAAAGCATTATAGCATGAATTTTTAGAAATAATTGAATTTTAAAAAGGTTTCAAATTAAAATCTTTGAAAATTTGAATTTTTCTTAATTTTAACTAATAATTCTGTAGAATTAATTTTTTTTGAAAAAGTTTAATTGAATTGTTTTTTAAATTATTAGAAGTTTTTATTTTCTAATATAGATATAATTTCTGAATTATAAAAATTTTATTTTGTAAAATTTTGTAAAATTGAATTGCAATCAAGTGGATTTGAAAATTTCCAAAGAACTTTTTCAAAAATTATTAAAAATAAATTATTTTTAGAGTGAATGAGAATATTCTTTAGGGTCAGGGAAAAACAAAATTAAATTTTTATGGCAACCCTGTTTTTATATTTAAATTTTAATATAAAATTCAAATATTTAATTTAATTTAAATTTACGAACAAAAAATAAAATAAATTAAGAAAGAAATAGAATTAATAGAACTGAAAAACAGAAAATCAAAAGACAAAATTTGAAAAAGGAAAAATACTAGTTATGCAACTTTTATTATTATTTTTAAAATTACGATTAATTTATAAAAGTCTTACTGTTTATTCCAGTGAGTTGTTAACGTTTTGTTTGTAACTTTTCTTTTCTTTTCTTAAAACATAATTTTCTTTTAAAATTTTCATTTGTAAATTTCCATCTTTTTTCTATTTTTCTTTTTTTTTTTGCTTCTGTAAGTTTACTTTTTCTTCTATGTATATTTTTTACCGTGTTTTCCTCAAATATTTTTTTCTATTCTTTTTTTTAATAATTTTAATTCCCTTTCTAGAATCTTTTTTCAGTTCTTTTTTTTAATTGTTTACAATTTTAACTCTCTTTTTTGTAACTATTCACTTTTCTGTGCAATATTGAACTCTTGTATTTTATTAATTTTTGTTTTTTGAGTTTTTTTTCAATTTTGTATTTTACTTTTGAAAAAAAGATAGACACTTTAGTTTAAGAGATTTTTTCTTTGTGTCGTTTTTTATTTGAATTTTTCAATCATCATACACACGATTGTTAATTGATATATAAAGTGCAAATTGAAAATGACGGTAATCATGAAATGCCAAAATAATGCGATAGAGGAGAATTTCGAAACTTCCTCAATCACGTACAAAGAGGAACTGACGAATGTAGAGCGTGAAGACCCTTGCTTACCGGCCAAGGAGCGCAACATCATGAAGACTATATTCAAAATATTTAGATAATTGGCCAGGTGGCTTGCTACGAAAATTAACATCAAATTCTGGATATAGAATATTTCCTGAAAATTACAGTCAAATTCAAATAGAATATGTTTTCCTCACATTTTTCTTACCTCACAATAATCTTCAGCTGAATTTAAACAAACATTCAATAATGTCAATTCATTCGAATTTTAATTTCAATTATTGTTTATTAATTTTAAGCTTCAAGAATATTTCAAATAAACTAAAGAATTAAAAAAACTTTTTTAAATTTTTTTAAATTAAATTTAAATTGAATTTTGTATTAATGAAACAACTAATTTTTGTCGATTGGTTTTTTCTTCATAAAAAGAAGTTTACTAATTATTCAAAGATCTTTTTCAATACGAAAAAGATTTTTAGTGAATAATTTATTTTATTGCAGGAATATTACTATTTCTCCGTCGTTTTGTTTTTTTTATTACTAAAAAAAGGGGAATTCAATTAAAGAAATGTTATCGTTCTCAAAATGAAATTGAATCTTTCCAGAAAATTGTTGTTCAGAATCTGTTTAAGAACTTCAGTTAGAGTCTATTTCGCAAAAATTAATTTCTTATTACAAAACGTTGTATTTAACGAGACGTAATTTAAATTCTAGTGCTTGGAAAAAAAAAATTTTTTTTCTATTTACATAAAAAGAAATTGAAAAAACAGAATTATACTAAAGATTACTATGATTTTAAATAATTGTCATTTAGTGAGGAATTAAAAATATTTTGTAACATAAAATTCAAAATTGTGAAATTCGTTTTACGAATTCATAAAAAAATACTGAATTAATCGATAAAATAACTTAATATCAGAATTGGAGATTTTAATTGTGATTTAATGAAAAAAATAATTAAATATAAAAAAGTAGGGTTGTGATTAAGGGCATATGAAGAGCACTTTTTTTTATTGGTTGTGATCATGTTGTAATTAAAAAATAAACTTGTCTGAAAGTTGCTCACTCTTTTGTTTAAAAGAACAAAGCTCTACTCGGTGCTCCGTTTGTGTTTGTCATTCTCCGATCTTAATATCTCATTCATGTCCTGAGCATTGTACTTGCATTTCAAATAGTCAACTTACTTCGAAGCAATTTTCAGAATGACGTCTGTTATGTAAAAAAAAAAGGAATTTGTTATCTCAGTATATTCAAAGTACAATATTTTATTGAGAATCCTTATTTCTTTTCGAACAAAGGACAATTTTTTTCTGTAAATTTTCTAATAAACGAATTTCTTTTCATTTCACTATTCAATACCGGCGAATATATTTTTTTGAACACTTTTATTTTGCCAGAGTCTTATTTATAGTTATTATTATTATTTTTTGTAATTTTTTCAATATTGTTCAAATTTCACTTCATTACCAATTTTTTTTTGTGTCTATTTTATTTTCATCAAAAAAAAAAATTAATTTTTAATTTATTTTTCTTTACGTTCAAAAATAGTTGCCGGAAAATTTCTTCTCAATTTTTATTTTAATCAAATATTGTCTGTTTTCATGATTTAGTTAATTAATTTATAAATTTATGCTTTCCAGGTCCATTTCATTAACTTATGTTAAGAACGAATATAACGAAGTTTCTTGTTAAAAATATTTAATTGTTTTTTAAAAATTTTTTTTCGAACAAAATTTATCAGAAAAAGAAAAAAAATAGAAAAATTAATAATTGAAGAATTCAATATTAAATAAAAATAATTTTCACTGCGAAGATGAAGAAACGAAAATTTACATCCACTAAGTGATGATCATTTACTTAAAATAAATAATTGTATGTAAAAAGAATATAAAAAGGGGAACAGGCTTCGCATTCGATAATTAATTTGAAAAAAGTAGCTTTAAGTCTGAAAAAAGTAGTAAAAAGTAGTTATAGAAAAATTAAATTTGACGTCTAAAAAAATTTATTTTTGTTAGTCGATTCTCCAAAATTTGGTTCTGTATTTTCCCGATTTCCATAAAAATATTCACTTTTTCTTATTTTATTCACAATTTAAAATTTTTTAAAAACTTAATTATTTTCCAAATTCAATTCTACATTTTTCTAAAATTCAATTATTTTCAAAGACTTAAATTTAAAAATCTTTTGAAATTCAATTATTTCTAAAAGTTCACGCAATAATGCTTCTAATATTCAATTATTATCTAAAATTTTTACTTAAATTCAATTTTAAATTAATTTTTATTAAAAAATTTGACGAGAATTCAATTATTTAAATACAAAAATAAATAATTGAAAATGAAAAATTGATTAATTATTCAAATTCAGTATTTATAAAGAATTTTATCAAAAATTTTCTTTATAATTAAATTCTTTTGAAGAATTTTAATGAATTTTCTTTCTGAGTTTTCGAGGAATTTATTTTAAATTGTATTAAAAATAATTCAATAAAAATTTTAATTAAAAATAATTTAAATACTGGGAAGAATTTTATTGTTTATAAAAATAATTGAATTCTTGCAACGAATTTTATGAAATTGTTCTTCAAATAATTGAATATTTGTGAAGACTTTTATTATTTGTGCAAATAATTAAATTCTTGCAAAGAATTCTATTAACATTTTTCTAAGAAATTACGATTTTATTAAAAATATATGAAATCTTATAAACAAATTTGATTGAAATCATTGAAAATAATCGAATTTTTGCGGAAAATTTTATAAAATTTTGTTCTAAATAATTAATTTCTTTCAAAAAATTTTTTCCAAAATTGTATTTTACTTAATTGAATTTCAGTAAAAATGTAATTTTTTATGAAATTTATTGAATTTTTGGAAAGAATTTTATTAATTTTTTTTTAAATAATTGAATTTTGTGAAATCTTATTAAAATAGTAGTTATAAAAAAAAATTGAAGTCTTGTGAAAATTTTTTTTCAAATGTTTGAAAATAATTGAATTTTTTTGACGAATTTTAATAAAATTTTCAAGAATAATTACATTTTTCGAGGAAAAAAAAAGATAAAAAAGGTAGAAAATATAAGAAGAATTTTAATATTTGTAAAAATAATTGAATCCCATCTGTAAACATTTTTATTATTTTTGAAAATAATCAAAATAATAATAAATTCTTCGCAGTAATTGCGAAGAAATTTATTAAAAGAAATTTAAAAAATCGAATTCCTGTAAAATTTTTAATATTTCTGAAAATATTTCAATGTTTTCGTAGAATTTTATCAAAATTGTTTTTAAAAAATTGAATTCTTTTGGAAAATTTTATTAAATTCGTAGGTATTGAAAATCATTTAATTGTGTGGAAAATTTTTGAAAATAATTGAAATTTTTACAAGAATTTTATTACAATTTTTGAAAATAATCGAATTTCGGAGAAGAATTTTATTACTTTTGAAAATAATTGAATTTTTGCAATAATTTGTATAACTTTTTCAATATTAAATTTTTTTTAGTGTTTTTAACTAAAATTCTTCTATAAATCACTTATTTTGAATAATTAATTAAATATAAATATTTTTTAATAATATTATTATAAAAAATTTAACTAATTTCAGAAGAATTTGAAGTGAATTCTAAGAATTTTATTAAAACGTTTTTAATCGTTTCTAAGAATTTTATTAAAATTTTTGAGAATAATTTTTTGTTTCAATTATTAGAGGATTTAAGTTACCACCAATTTTCAAAAAGAAGAAAAAAGTTACTTTTAGTGTCACAAATTTAAAAAAAAATATCTTAATAGTAGCAAGAAGTAAATAAAAGTTAAAATCGAATTAAATAAAAGATTAAAAATCTGATGAAAGAAGGAACGTAAAGTAAAAATAATTAATAGAAAAATCAGAGAAAGAAGAAAAAAAGATAGAAGGTACAAAAAAAAAGTTAATGAAGCAAAAAAAGAAAGATGCAAACAATTTATGAAAAACGAATCTACACTTGAATTCAAAACACTAGCGAAATACAAAAAAAATCGTTTCCTTCTGAAAAGGTAATGAGAGTAAAGAATTAAAAAATTTGTACTTTTCTTTTATTTTCTCGACAAATAACAAGTTTACAACATGACCCTGACCGAAATTGCTTATCATCTTCTGTGAATGTTTTGTGAGATAAAATTTTTGCGAGGCAAATTGACCTCTAATAATTTCATAACAATAACAATTTCTCTCTATAATATATTTATGTCCGAACGATTGGAATGCGCGGCAAATGATGAAAAGATTTCCGCAATTTTCCCCGGCTTTTGGAAGATGTTAACTTGAACTTTCTCTGCTTCCAATACTATTAATAGAACACAAGAAGCCAAAGAGAACGACTATTACGGTAAAAGGGAAATGATGTAATAAATGTACGGATTTGTAAATGTGTGCTAAACAAATTTAGCTCCCAGCTTGTCTTTGATCGCTCTCCATACTCATTTACTGTGCTAATTCGACGATAGAATTTTATGTCTCAAACTAATTTCAGAGCTCAACCAAGATCAGTAAGTTGAACCAGTGCTTGACCCTGACATGCTTCATTCCTCAATCTCTGCAAGATAATTGAAAGACCATTTTTTTTTTTTT